TTTGTGTCTTCCCTGTTGATTGGTGTCTCGCAGTAGGACAAGTTGACCTTCATGCAGAGGAGAATCTTGAACATGCTGGTCATAATTTCTTTTTCTCCTATCTGCAGCAATCTTCAGCTTCTCCCTGGCTTCCTCAAAAGCCAGTTGCAAGCGTGTCTGGTGCTCTGCAACCCATTTGTCAACACTGCCAGCACTGGGTTCTGATACATGGCCCAGCAGAAAGTCTAAAGGAAGCCTAGGTTGTTGGCCAAACATCAGAAAGAAGGGACTTTCTCCAGTGCTTTGATGTGGTGTGGTGTTATAACAAAAGACAACTTGTGGCAAATAAGAGGTCCATGCCCTTTTACTGGTGGTGGGGAGGGTACGCAACAGATTATGAAGTGTACGATTAAACCTTTCACATTGTCCATTTCCAGCAGGGTGGTACGGTGTGGTCCTGGACTTCTTGATGCCATAGAATTGACAAAGTTGCTGAATAAGGGAACTTTCAAAATTACGCTCCTGGTCCGAATGAACACGGGCTGGTACCCCAAACTTTGAAAACCACTCGGTCACCAGGACATGAGCCAGAGTAGAGGCACGTTGATCTCTGGTTGGTATGGCCAGGGTGTACTTACTAAAAACATCCGTTAAGATGAGCACGTTCTCCCGTCCATCTTGAGAAGGCTCCAGGATTGTGAAGTCCATTGCAAGAATGTCATTAGGTCGTGACGCCAACAAATGGCCCATGTAGGTCCATGCACGAGGTTGAGTATCTTTTGCTACTTGGCATCGCTTACATAACCTGCACCAATCAACAACATCAGAAGACATTTTTGGCCAGTAACATCTTGTCCTCAGGAGTGAGAGAGTTCTATCCACACCTTGATGGCCATGGTCCTGATGAGCCTGAGTCAGGACCTCCTCCCTCAAGGCTGTAGGCAGCAACAACTGTAGCGTCTCCTCAGCACCGTCGGGACGGAAGATCTTGCGGTGGAGAACACCATCCTTCTCCACCAGGCGATCCCACTGCCTCAGAAATGCCAACAAAGACAAAGATAAATTCTTTCGCTCTATGCGATCAGGTTGTTTCTTGCGGGCCCAGAAGGTCCAAAGTTCCTGCAAAACTGGGTCAGCATGTTGTAATACTTGCATATCCTTTGTGGTGCGTTCAGGGAGGACTGTAATGGCAGCTTGCGTAGCATCCTGTCTCTCCATCATCAGCTGTAGGGATTCAGGCAGGCTATTCCCTGGAAGAAGAGCACCAACCTGTTTGTTTTCTGGAAAGCGCATCTGCGTTCCTGTTCGTGCGCCCTGACCGGTACTGAATCTTGAAATCAAAGGAGGCAAGTTGTGCAGCCCATCTATGTTCAGTGGCACCCAGCTTGGCAGTACTAAGATAACTGAGGGGATTGTTATCAGTGAATACAAGACATTTATGGCCCAACAAGTATTCTCTGAATTTTTCAGTCATTGCCCATTTAGGGACTAAAAATTCAAGTTTCATGGAGCTGTAGTTATCCACATTGCGTTCAGTTGTCCTTAATCCTCGGCTGGCGTAAGCAATAGGACGCACCACCCCGTCCTGTTGTTGGGAGAGGACAGCCCCCAGACCACCATGGCTCGCGTCCACCTCTAAAATAAAAGGCAAAGAAAAGTCAGCGTAGGCTAGCACAGGTGAGGTAGTTAGCCTCCTTTTCAATTCATCAAA